GCAGCCGATACATTGGGATACTGTTATGATGTTTGTAGCTAAATATAATGTTTAACTAGACATGCAAATTCCCGTTGACTGATTAGTCAATATTACATGGCTAGTATTAAAATTTTTAATGTACAAATGTAAAAGCAATATTGGCTAACCATTGTTTAGTAGCCAACTGAACTGCAGAAAAATCCTCCATATGAAGTTGAAAATGACTGGCCAACTCTGCCAGTTGTACTTTCTGCTGCCCCTTAACAGGAAACCCTTCCTCTTCCAGAACCAGTCCAAGGCTATTCTCCACTCCTGGCAGCCTGCTTTCTTTCCCTCTCCAGCTGAGGAATTTCTAATACCAGAAATAACTTTTACTGTGAGATTATGATGGGGATTCCTTCTGTCTAACCATGGAAATGCAAATCTTCCAGTCTCCTTTAAATCCTAATAAATACAGTCTGTCTGTGATGTCCCGCCCATGTTCTGTGCTATGAACCATAACCTCCATCACACTCCTAACTTGTGTCTTGAATGTAGTGGCCAAAGTTTATTTAGTCAGGAAGTGAGTCCTCTTTTGTAGAATCGTCAGCCTCTGACTTGCTCTAGTAGCAACAGTATTTATACGACTGGTTATTTATTTATTTATATTAAAATTTTTTAAAAGTTTCATATATTAGGTTGTTTTTTTATTCATTGATGGGATGAAGACGTTGCTGACTAGGCCAGCATTTTATTGCCCATCCCTAATTGTCCAGAGAGAAGTTAAGAGTCAACCATATTGCTGTGGGTCTGGAGTCACAGGTAGGCCAGACCAGGTAAGGATGGACGTTTCCTTCCTAATGGGATATTAGTGAACCAAATGGTATTTCTCCCAACAATTGATAATGGATTTGTGGCCATCATTAGACTCTTAATTCCTGATTTTTATTATATTCAAATTCTACCCTCTGCCACAGTGTGATTCAAACCTACACGTCAAGAACATTACCTGAGTCTCTAGATTAATAGTCCAGTGATATTACCACAGGCTGCCACCTTCTCATAGATATGGACAACTGGGTTCAAATGAATCTTTTGAAGAGTATAACGAGTGCAGGGGCATTCTTAACAGGAAAACCAGGAAGGCAAAGAGAGGATATGAGATAGCCTTAGCAGATAGAGTTAAGGATCATCCAAAGAAATTCTGTAAGTACATTAAGAGTAAGACAGCAACTAGAGAGAGAATGGGGCTTCTTAAAGATCAAAGAGGTCGTCTTTGTGTTGAACCTCAAGAGATGGGAAAGATATTAAATGAATATTTTGTGTCTGTTTTTACTGTGGAGAAAGAAATGGAGGCTAGAGAAGACAGGGAAATAAATATCAATGTTTGAAAACAGCTCACACCACAGAAGAGGAAGTCCTGAAGGTTTTATAAAATATAAGAGTATATATCTCTGGAACCTGATCTGGTGTATCCCAGGATGTTGTGGGAAATTAGGGTGGAGATTGTAGGGTCACTTGCAAGAATATTTGTATCACCATAACCACGGGTGAGGTGAGCCACTGGAGAATGGCCAATGTTGTGCTTTTTGTTTTAAAAGGAATATAAGGGGAAGCTTGGGAACTGTAGATCTGTGAGTCTGACTTTGGAGGTGGGTAAGTTGTTGGAAGTGACTCTGAAAGATAGGATTTATATGCATTTGGAGAGGTGAATGATAAGGCTAGTCAGCATGGCTTTGTAAAAGGGAAATCATGTCTCACAAACTTGTTTGAGTTTTTTGAGGAAGTTACCAAAAAAATTGATGAGTGCAGAGCGGTAGAAGTTGTTCACTTGGACTTTAGTAAAGCTTTTAACGAGGTTCGGCATGGTAGACTAATTAGAAAAGTTAGATCACATAGGATTCAGGGTACATTTGCCAGTTGGATACAAAATTGGCTTAATGGCAGGAGACAGAGGGTGCTGGTGGAGGGTTGTTTTTCATATTGGAGGCCTGTTACTAGCAGTGTTCCACAGAGATCGATGCTGGGTCCGCTTTTGTTTGTCATTGAGAATACAGAAGACGTGGTTAGTATGTTTGCGAGTGACAACAAATTGGCAGTATAGTGGACAGTGATGAAGGTTATCTAAGATTACAAAGAAATTCTGATTGATTGGGTCAATGGGCTGAGGTGTGGCAGATGGAGTTTAATTTGGATAAATGTGAGGTATTGCATTTTGGTAAGACAAACAAGGGCAGGAATTATGCAATTATAAGTTGGACCTTGGGTAGTCTTGTAGAACAGACAGACCTAGGGGTTTGGGTACATAATTCATTGAAGTTTGCATCACATGTGGACAGGGTCATTAAGAAGGCATTTAGCATGATTGCCTTCATTGTTCAGACCTTTGAATGTAGGAGTTGGGATGTCATGTTGAGGTTGTACAGAATGTTGATGAGGCCTCTTCTGGCGTTCTGTGTGCAGTTCTGGTTGCCCTGCTATAAGAAGGATATTATTAAATTGGAAAGATTCACCAGGATATTGCCAAGATTGGAGTGTTTGAGTTATAGGGAGAAGCTGGATAGACTGGGGCTTCTTTCACTGGAGCATCGGAGGTTGTGTAGTGATTTTATGGAGGTTTTTAAAATCATGAGGGGTACAGATAAAGTGAATGGCAGGTGCCTTTTCCCTAAGATGGGGGATTTGAAGACTAGGGGGCATATTTTTAAGGCGAGAGGAAAAAGATTTGAAAAGGACATGAGGGGCAACATTTTTACACAGGGAGTTGTTTGTGGAAAGAACTTCCACAGGAAGTGATGTATGCAGATACAGTTACATTGTTTAAAAGACATTTAGTTAAGTAGAAGAATAGGAAAGTTTTGTAGGATTATGGGCCAAGCGCAGGCAGGTGGGACTAGTTTAGTTTGGGATTATGTTCAGTGTGGACTGAAGGGTCTGTTTCTGTGACTCAGCATTTTCTCTGCTTCAGGTGCAGGACTTCCTCTCTCCGTCTCCTGTTTTCCCTCCTTCTTGAGGATTCAGTTTGGTCTGTGATGTTCTATGAATCGCTTAGGAAGCTTTGTAACTCAATAATATGACACTATGGGCTTGTTATGGACTATTCCTTTCCCAGAGCCTATCTTCATTTTCCTCAATTCATCTCCTCCATCCATTTTCTGATTTATTGCTGCTTCTGAAATGTTATTTGTATCCTGTATAGTGAAGACTGCTGCAAAATATCTGTTCAATTCACTTGTCATTTCATTAGTTTCCATTACAAATTCTCCAGTCTCACTTTTCATAGGACCAACACTCAATTTGTTAACTCTTTTCTTTAATATTTAGAGAAACTCTATTAATAGAAACCTATACAAACTTGCTGGATGTTGTACGTAAGATACTACACTGAATTTGGGGTAGGTTCAATCTCCATCCTCCATGGTATGAAAGTTAAGGACAGACTTGCCCTCACTTAGCAAGCTCACCCCATGCCGTTCATTGGGTGAAGCATAACTTCTGGTCTAGAAAGGTAAGTGCTGAGATCAACACCTATGGTATGGCACCCAAATTAACCAACCTACACAAATGGGCCATGAAATCCCCCTCGTTATCTGGACAGAAATGCAATTTGGGGGTTTCCTTTCCTTCTATTTTTACTTGGTATGTTGTAAAACTTCATTGCCTTGAAATCAACCCTTTTGATTCCCAATCCTGCAACCCTGCGATATTTTACTGAAGATAGTATCCCAAATTAACCTGGTGGCCATTCTAAAGAGTGAGAAACTAAATTCATGTGTTCGTGTTAAGTTTATCATAGTCAACAAAACTCGATGCAATTGGCTGAACCAACACAACTACTCATGGAATATGAAGCCTAGATTCTGTCTAGAACTGCTTGTGCTTTGTACAATCTGTTACTCCAGCTCAAGGTTCAATTCACCCAGATAAAGTCTAACTCCACAATAGACTGCACCAAAATTGAGATTTCAATGACTGAAGCTTTTCAAATTGTGCTCATTTTGAAATAAAATGCATTTTCTTAAGGAACAAAGGCCCTTGCTCACAGATTTTAATTGTCTTTTTGTATTGACATCTAATCATTTTACAAAATCAACCATTGAAACTATTAAAATGATTAAGTATAATTTTTACATCACTTTCAGTGATTTTAAATTACCATTACTCACAAGTAGAGAGCCCAACACACTGACTAAAAAATGTTAACTTTTGGCGTTTGTCCCTATTTTAACTGCATCAATAAAATTGCACTAGGTCACCACGCTTAAACACATCAAGGAAATTGCAAAATGAAAAACAAACAAATGATTGCAATATATCACATGCCCAAAATATGCTGGTTCATGAAAGGTTTTACATTTGTGATTACATGAATTAATTTTTACCAGAAACAATGGGTAATCTAAGCAGTGGTTCAAGACCATTCTGGGTGCATTTTTCTACACCATTAATTAGATGTTGAAACCTAAATATTTTGTTTTGCCAAATTTAAGATCCCTAGGACTGAAGGAAAATAACATTAGTATTTTAACTGTTAAGATAATGATGTTGATTCAGTTCTGACCACTATGCCTGATACATTTCATATATATCACTAGACTACTAAAATGGTGTTTAAAAATAACTTGGTCAATATTATACATCAATCAATCATTAGAATCCCATTGTAATAAGAAACTGAATGTTCACTGGCTCTCTATTATGGGTATGAGCATCAGCAATTTGAACTTTGGTCTTCATATTTATAAAGCCTTATGATACAGGTCACTGGACATGTTGTTGGAAACTAGATATCAAAATAATCAGTGTCTGTCTTAAAAGATCAAATTATTTTGTGATTTGTTAGCCACAGAGGAATATTGATATTCTAAAATTATTCTTTCTAGTTGCTTTCTTTTAATTTTATAATTTTTATGATGGCTTTGCGCTTTTGATGCTGAGAAATGGAATGCTAATTTTAAATTAAGTATTTGTAGATGAGGTATAAGTAGTTTTTAATGCAGCTTAAAATGGGTCTTAACTATAACTCCAGAAGAGTACCCTCACTGGACAGTGTAATCTTCAATTCCAGTAAGATCATCTTCATGGTCCCCTTGGATAACCTGAATGTTTAAAAAATCTTTTAGAAACTAGAGTCCTGACTTGGTTTTGCCCATCCATGTTGACCAGATATCCTGAATTAATCTAGTCGCATTTGCCAGCATTTGACCCATATCCCTCTAAACCCTTCATATTCATGTACCTATCCAGACGCCTTTTAAATGTTGTAATTGTACCAGCCTCCACTACTTTCTCTGGCAGCTCATTCCATACGCGCACCATCGTCTGAGTGAAAAAAGTTGCCCCTTAGGTCCCTTTAAAACTTTCTCGTCTCACCTTAAACCTATGTCCTCTGGTTTTGGACTCTCCTACCCTGGGAAAAGACAAAAAAAAACTGCAGATGCTGCAATCCAAGGTAGACAAACAGGAGGTTGGAAGAACACAGTCAGCCAGGCAGCTTGAGAAAAAGACCTTCACTATTCACCGTATCCATGCCCCTCTATAAGGTTTATATCCAGCCTCCAACACTCCAAGGAAAATAGTCCCAGCCTATTCAGACTCCTCCCATAGCTCAAACCTTCCAAGCATGACAACATCCTTTTAAATCTTTTTTCAGCCATTTCAAGTTTAAGTCTTTCCTATAGCAGGGAGACCAGAATTGAATGCAGTATTCCAAAAGTGGCTAACCAATATCCTGTACGACTGCAATATGACCTCCCAATTCCTATACTCAATGCACTGACCAATAAAGGCAAGCGTACCAAACACCTTCTTCACCTCCCTATCTACCTGTGACTCCACCTTCAAGAAACTATGAGCCTGCACCCAAAGTCTCTTTGTTTGGCAACACTCCCCAGAACCCTACCATTAAGTGTATAAGTCCTGCCCTGATTTGCTTAGAGTTGAATTTGTTGGTTCCTTTCCAGTTTCCTTTTGATGGTGTTTTAGCAGAATGTGCTTATGAGTTATTGCATATTTTCTTTCTCTACCTAATTGGCTTTGCATCCCAAAAGAATGTACGTTGTCATTGGAGGCTCAAAGTTCCCAAGATTGCAAAACTATAGGCTTACAGATATCACCTTCTGTCTTGTAAGGAAAGCAAACAGTCTTCATTGGAACCTGGTTGTTTGTATCAGCAGTTTGACTCTTTGAAAGATGACCAGGACAATCAATATGCTTCAGAGAGGAGGTAAATTGATTGACAAAAGAAGACTGCAGATCTAGAAATCAGAAACAAAATCAGAAATTGCTGGAAAAGCTCAGCAGGTCTGGGAGCATATGTGGACAGAAAGCAGAGTTAATATTTTGGGTCCAGTGACTCTTCCACAGAACAAAAAAAAAATGCAGGAAGAAGGATCACTAGATCCCAAATGTTAACTTTACTTTCTCTCCACAGATGCTGCCAGAATGGCTGAGTTTTCCCAGCAATTTTCTGTTTTTATTTATGGTATAATGATGGGCTGGCAGATGGAAGGCCTTGTGAGTTGTGACCCTAATGCTACCATGGGATATTCTCAGAGGCAGGAAGCTCAGGGGAACAGCTATCTGCCTCAAGGCAGGGCAAAATTGAGAAAATAAATGAAGGACCATTTCAGATCCCCACTGACAGTCTACAGGTGGGCTGGCCACCAAATGGGCAGTCATGCAGCTCTATGGGGAAGAAAGACTTAATTTTTGCTCATTTCATGGCCCATGGGGAGTATTTCTGATGACAACAGCTCCCTCCATAACTATGATAATCATCTGGAGGATGCCTATCCACCTATTTCTCAAGGCCTGACTACCTGGCCAGGCACTTTGAATAAAAGAACCGACCTGACCATTGAGGGTCCCTGAGTATGCATGTGCTCTCTCTTCTTCTTCCTGTAGTCATTGAAGCAGCCACTTCTTTCAGTGATGCTATCAAACTGCTGATCCTCTGATTGGCTCAGCAGCCCTAGGAGGCAACCTCAATTGGACCTGCGCATTTAAATGAATTGCTCACGCGCTACCATTTCAATGAGAGGGATTGTTGATGAGGACTTGCAGGTAAGACAACACCTATTTCAATTAGCTTGGTGCTGTGCTAAGCTCTACATGTTACACCACTGTATCAGTCCTAAGCTTCAGAATTCTCTTCACTAAACATTTCTCTCCTCCTTCAAGTCTACCCTTCAAGCCTACATTTTTTTGGCCTTCTCTGATTCAGATGCAATTTTTGGCTGACTGTGATCCTGTTATGAGCGTTTCAACATTGCTTCTATAAATGTAAGTGTTATTGATTAGAAAATGGACTGCACCATCCAATTACTGGAATGAACCCTGCCCCAGAAGAATATCTGCAACAGTACTGAAACTTTTATTTGCTACATTTTCAAACGTATTGTGAACATAAACCCAGGTTTTACTAAAACTATCCACTAATTGTCATGAATGTGTTCATTCCTTCAGTAAGTCAATAAACAGAATATACAAACTCGATAAATTCTTTCATTTGAACTTTATTATTTTCAAAACGATTATATGTATTGATGGAGTGAACAACCATTGCTAATCTAGATACTAAAAGTTTAAAAAAAGATAGCTGAGACAGTAACATAATATGTATTTTCACAAAATATGTATAATTAAATGTTTTTAGTATTAAGTAACAGCTAGCTCGAGTTTTCAATTGGAAATGCAAGGCAAACAGCAGCTGCTTGAGGCTGTGCAATTCTGCACAATAGTTTTCAATGTCTTAGCACCATCTATAACCAGCAGGTATTGATTAAACAACATGCTTTTTGTAAGCATCCACATATTATTTACATAGTAGTGGTTCATAATTAATGGTATGTAACAGAAATCAGATCAGAGTTAGCTCTGTGAACAGGATCGTAAAGAATGACTTCTTGGCATTCATAATGAACAAGCAAGTCAAATACGCCTTTACAGTGAAATTATGCATCGCACAAAACCACTGCAATGTAGTACCTTACTTGTTCAACCAGTTTCATAGTTTTTTAAACTAATTGCTGATAGGTGTCATGGCTCTTAATGATTTCATTCAAAAAAAAACTCCCTTCATATTTTAATTTTACAGTTTCAATAGCCATTAAAGTATTGTTTTGTTTAGAAAGATGGTCCTGTTAGGTATCAGTTACCACAACAAGGGAGCTGGCAAAAAACATATTCCCAGGACTTGGTTGATGCTGAGCCAGCAGCTTTGGCGAAATGATGGCAGCTCAAAGCGTCTCTTGCCTGAAAAGTTTTCTGAACTTCCTTACCATCCTGAGAGAAAAAAAAGAGCACAAGCTCTATTCATTAAGTCACCCAGACTCCTCAATCTAAATTAAGAAATTGCCTAATTGTAACAATGCAGGGATGAGATGAGCCCTGCCACTTCTGGCAGCCTTTGAGACAACGTATCTACAATATTTTGCCCAACTGGGCAGTTTTGTTTTATTTCTAAAGAAAAGCCCAGAAGTCCTCATTGGGAAGTTCCAACTTAAGGTCGCTGGTTAAATGTTTCTGACACAAAGAGTAAGTTAATTGCATTTGGAACTGCCAATTATATCACAGAAACCCCCAATCATTACAGCATCAAAATAGATTGACCAATTTATACAGAAAACAATGTAGATTAAGAAATGTGCTACATACCCTCCAGTTTCATATTCTACATTATACTGATGCAATACATATTACAAGTCTACTTTACAATCATACAATATTAAATACTACAAATCTATGTTTATAGTTAGCATGCGAAACAATTTAAAATGCTCCATTTGTGCTTGTTCTATGGCAGATAGCATGAGGGAAATAATTCATTAACAAAAGTGTCAAATCACCTTCAGAGTCACACAAGAAACTGTACAATATCAGTTTCCCTGTTCACCTCCTCCAAGGATTGAACTTGTAAATGGTCAGCAATGAAAACTGCAGCATCAATTCATCAGTAAATACAATAGATGCACCACACCCACACCCACCCTCCACCACCCCCACCGCAACTCCCACCACCCCCGCCACCTCCCCCCACATCCCTCCCCCACACCCCCACCCCCCGCCCGAGCAGCAGTAGCAAAGATTAAAATGAATTGAGGGAAAATAAATGATAAGTTATATCCTAAACAATGTGCACATTAAAAGTGGCACATAGCATTCTAAATTTAATTATAAACTGCACAAAACTTTCACCACTTTATTGAAGTATTCTGAATTGTGGTTTTACAATTCCAAGATGGAGCTTAAGAGAATCAAAGGAGAATTTAAACTCCATTTCTGCCTTTCCTTATATTTTAGCCCAGCTACAAGAAATTGAAAAATATTATCACTGTGTTCATGTCTGTCTTTTCATTTTGCCTTCTTTTTCTGAACATCCACAGCTCATAGTTGCTATAGCTATTTGCATCATTACCCTAAGAGAGATTAGCAAACGTAGCACAGATCAAGGACCAAACCTACAGTCTTGCTTATCTAGGTATAGATTCAATTGTAGCATTGCCTTTTAATTGGTTTCCTATTTGATATACATCCCTTAACCAACATTCTCTTTCAAAATAAAACACAGATGGTTTAATTGGGACAATTTTTCAGCTTGGAGTCAGGAAGGTGACACCAGAACATTTCCAAATCCTAATACCACATCACAACAGTAGCAGTAATGTGAAGCCGTTCTCAAGTGTTGCTAATTCACTCAAAGGTGAGTACAGCACCCAACGAGGGGGACCCCATGTACTTCTGATGTTAATGGTTCTGATCGAGGCTACGGCAGGCAAGAGAGCTGTCCTCATCCCTCCATTCAGCAGAAGACCTCCAGCAGGCCAGATAAAGCATGCATAGCTACAGGTGCTTTACTTTCCTGTCAAGAGTCCAAACACTCTCCTCACAAAACCAAGTCCCTCAGCTCCAGCAAGGGTAATTGCATGAGCAACTGAGTTTCAATTCTGAGATAGTGAGAACTGCCGATGCTGGAGTCTGCGATAACAGGGTGTAGAGCTGGAGGAACACAGCAGGCC